AGATTTTTGTCGTTCAACCAAAATCGACCCGTGTAAATGACATCTCATCCACTAGCTGGTCGATTTTCCAGTCTACAGATATCGACCCTTATAAGGCCGCTTTAGCTCCTTATTTGTACAAGGATACGAGGAAAAATGAATTGTTTTTTATAAAGATAAGAAATGTACATCTACTACGAATACTTTATATTTACTTCCATTTTCGTAGTCCGAACCCAGCAAAGAGCGCTCGGTGAAGGTCAGCTAGTGATCAAATTTGCCAAGAGGGCTGCCAAACATACATAGCTATGAAGCCATATTGAGGATAAAAAAGTGCTAAAACGTGCGAAATAGAAAATTAAAAGTGCCAAAAAAGGTGTCATTCTCTTTAGTTCTTCCCATTAGCATTAAAATTAGACAAATTAAAACAAAAGCCCAATGTCAAAGTAAGATAAACCAGTTGTATACACTATAGAAATTAGAAAATTACATATAGAATTAGAAAAGTACACGCAAAGGATTTCACAAAAATGTATTTAAATTTGGCTTATTTTCAAAAGTGCCATTTTGGCACTTTGTGCAAAATTGAAAAATTCAGTGCCATTTCAAGTAAAATAGTGCCAAAAATGGCACGGTTTGAGCCAAGTTGGCAGCCCTGATCGCCAAGTTTTTTATTTAAAAAAGCACCGAAATACTGAAAATAGCGCAATTTTCCCCCAAAAAAAAAACACAAATTTTGTGTTGCTGTGTTTAATGGTATTTTCATATAAAGCTGTATGTTCAAATATTTTAAGTAATCACACAATGAAACTTGTAAATATTTCCAACTATGCGCAGTTAATCAATTTAATAAATTTAATTTGCAAAATTTTTTTTTATTCGTAAAACAATTTCCAAAACTTGGCTTTTCTAGAGGCTTTGTTTTCATGCAATTGCTTACTTTTGTACAAATGCGCACACCCAGCTAATTAGCAGAATATCCTATGGATTCCGTGGTAGAGACTGTGTGAAAATATTGTGTTTGGATTATTTTGGAGCATATCCCTGCAAAAAATTGTGCGACTAATCTCCAAAGAGAGTATTCCGAGATTACTCTCAATCGGGTACAAGTGGGCATTAATTACTCGCAACTAGTCTCATACGGGTACTAATGGAGATCAATTGGTCTCGACTCATCCCTTATGGGTATAATTGGAGAACAATTAGTCCCCAACTCATCTCTGACGGGTACTATTAACGATTTAATGATATGTACGCACTTAGTCAATGAAATTTCATGTGCGGCGTTGGCTCGCAGAGACAGTATTCGCCCGGTTCGAATCTCAGCTGGCGCAAATTTTTATTTTTATTTTTTAGAAGTGACTCTTCGCTTTTTATACCCGTTCCGGTATAAAGGTGAACAATTAGTCTCTTCATAGGACATGCTCGAACAAAAGCGAACAGTTCATTCCATATAAAGAGATCTAAAGGGGTATTAGTCGCATGCTCCTTTGCGATTGCTCCCGGAGTCATCCCGGATTAGTCCCGTTTTTTGGAGGGATTATCTAGAGGAGAAGCTCGGCCAAACACTAACATATGTGTAAGTCAAATACAATGTCACCATAGAATCACGTTTTTATTATAAAATTGCCTTGAAAAGGGCACCAAATAACAAAACAAGCGCTAAACTAAACAATTTTCGCCTTTTAATTCCCTAAACGCACTTAATTTCTTCCGAAAGGCACAAAGTTGGCAACAGTTATATCGATGTCAATATACAAGCATGGACAGAGAGTGAGCGCCTGCTTAAAGAGCGTAAGCATCACATGCAAATACATGCGAGAGCGTAACAAAGCGAACGCAAATTCATTCAAACGCAGTGTTGCCATCTTTTGATTTTCAAAAAGTACCAAAAACTTGGAAAAAAAGCGTTTTACCACACCAAAAGCACCAAATTTTTTTGAATCAAGGAATG